GTTTACCTAAACTCAGGGGCGCGTGGATATTTCATCGCATGCCTCACCAAAGCAACCTCTGCGTGAAAACTACCCATGCCGGAAAACCACTTCTCTCTCCGCCGGGCTGCCCACCGGCCAGCATCTCTCCACTCCCCAAATGTACTTCCCGAGTCCCCTTCTGTGCATGACAAGCTCATTTGGGGGCATGGCAGTCGGTTAGGGGAGAGGAAAGGCAAAGCATCCATTTATTTACTTGTATAATCGCTCCCTGAAAATATCCTCCTACGGAACCTGTCCCCACTTTTGAGGACATGAAGCATCTCTCTGTTTGGCACTCGGGTATACGCACGCGTGCGGACAGGCGTGCGTGTGACTTGTGGCTGCGTGGGTTACCGGTAGACTGAGAGCCGTCAGCTTTCTGAAGGCTCTGCGAAAGCTTCGACTCATCCTGGAGGGTCGCAATTTGCTGGAAGGGAAAGGCTCCAGAGATGGCGGGGCAGAGGGTGCGTGTCGGGGGTAGAGCATGTGTGAGGGAGCAGGATGTGGAAGGGACGCTTGGCAGCCAGGAGCAGAACCACCCACACGTGCTGGAGAACTGTTCCGACCGCCCTCAGCAGGCAGAGTGTAGACCCTTCAGAGGGGCCCTGAGGCTCTGGGGTGCCAGATGGCCAAACTCACTGTGCCATCATCTTCTATCCAAATGAACGTTCCAGAGCCCAAGCAGGGACTTTTCACGGAGCAGAAAAGCTGGAAAACCAGGACACCTTTACAGTTTCTAGCGTCTTCGGACATCCAGATGGCTAACAGACACATGGAAAGACGCTCAGCATCACTCATCACCAGGGAAATGCAAATCCGAACCTCAGTGAGATAGCACCTGACACCTGTCAGAAAGGCTAGCACGAACAACTCAGGCCACCACAGATGTTGGCGAGGATGCGGAGAAAGAGGATCTCTTTTGCACTGTCGGTGGCGATGCAAGCTGGGGCGGCCACTCTGGAAAACAGCATGGAGGTCCCTCCAAAAACTAAAAATAGAGCTACTCTATGACCCAGCGATTGCACGACTA